CTTTCTGAATTTGTCATCTTTGTCAGAGCAGTGACAGAGTGGTGTCACCCAGTATTGTTCATTTTGTGTGCTGGGGTGCTGTGCCTGTTAAATAAACAGGTTCTTTCCACTTCTCTCCAAGGAATCCTTCCCAAACCGGTTGTGGGCAGGGGCTGTGTGGGTTTGCTTTCTGGAGGGGCCCCTTTGGAGGTTTTCTCCCAACTTCTCCCTAAACTGGCACAAAATTTGGGGTCCCAGTCCACAGGGCACTGCAAAGGGATGGCCCTGGAAGCACCTGTGGCCTCTTACACACACCTGTGTTCTCTGGGGCTCCCAAACCCACTCTGATCTCACCTGGCCCCTGCAGGCTGCCACAATCCAGCTCAGAGAGCAGGAAAATCCCTCCAGGGTTCCCTCCAGTGCCCTGAACACTTGGCTTCCTCCAATACAAGAGAAGATGGAGTAGGAGAAGGAGGGGAGAGGGGAGGAAAGCACAGAACCAAGTGAGACCCAGCAGAACAGAGCCCTGCCTGCCCACATCAGCCACCAGAGCAGGGCCCACAATCTGATTTTGCTCCCACACTGACCAGCCACAGCAATTTCAACCCATCCCATTCCAAATTACTTCTATGAGCTCTGAACATCTTGAATTTTATGGGAATGATTCACACATGACCCTATTTTCTTCTTGGAAAAAGCTTCTTCTTTATTCACATAACTCATTTTTACCCAGTTTTACAGACCCCATGTGGGACTCCAATTGGCCAGGAGCTTTCTTGCCAATTATTAGTTAGTAACAAGTTGTTATTCTGTATTAATTGGTCACTCAAATCCCAGGCTTTACATGCAGGGAAAGTTGTTTGTGAGAGATAGTTTTACAGCATTAGATAGAAAAATGAAAACTAGATTATACAGGTGCTGGTTGTTTTTCACCCAGGAATAGATTGTTGTGTTAATGAACTGATCACACCAGCATTGCTTTCACATGGGAACTTGCAAAGGGCTAGCTTGACAAGGCCAGCCACTGATTCCAGGAGAGCAGGCTTGATTTTATGATTTCTTTATGATTTTTCTACCTTACTGCAACAAACTTTTCCAATCACAAGACCTCGAGGTGACCCAGAAATTGGAACCCAACAGCTCCTGGCTGGGCAGGGCCTCAGCTCCCTGAGCAGCCCTGCAGGGAGGCCTCAAACCTGTTTTATACCCAGTGTATTTGCAGCAAGTTATAACACAGCTCTGGAGAAGGGATGGCAATATCCAGGAGTGACAGGAAACATGGAAGGGAGAAGGGGAAATTAAGGTCCTTGAAGCAGCCACAGAGCTTTTGCCTTCCAGCACTTCCTGAGAGCTTCCCTTTCCCAATCTATTGCCTTAAAGCTGCTTGGGAAATTCTCCTTAATCCATTCCCTCTGCCAGGTAGGAAAACATGGAAATAGGTTGATTAATGCCTCCTAATTTCACTCAAAAGAATTGTCAGCCCAAGGAGGCCCCCACCCAACAGCTGCACATTCAGTCCCTGACCCACAGCTCAGGCACTTGAGAACAGCAGGGAGGGAAGGAAGAACAGCAGCAGGACATGAATTTGTAACATTTTAATTATTTTCATTCACACAAACTGGCAGAGGGATGTGGTGGCACCCACCAAAAGTGGAACAAGAAGCCCCTGTGAGTGCATTTAAAGTTTAAATCAGCCCAGAAGCGAGCTGGCACAGGGGAGGGTGAGACCATCACCCGGGCAATAATTAGCAGGATTAAGGAACACTGCAGCATTGCCCAGGGCTGCTGGGAGCAGAGGAGGTGCCTTAAGGCACAGCTTCCCTGCCAAGGTGTTTGCTTGGGGTTGTAACATCACCAGCACATTTCTCATTTCTGTCCAAAATTCCTCAAAATAAGCATGGAGAATCAGCAGAGCTTGAAGACAATGAAGAACAACCTGGATCCTTTCCCAGAGTTCAGAGGAGCTTCAGCCTTAAACACAGCAGGAAGCCAGTCCATTCATCATTCCCAGCTTCTTCCCACCTTCATCCCCTGCTGTTTCTGCAGCATGCATGAGAGCAGATCAAATTTAAAAGCCAAACTCTTCCCATGTGCAGCTGCTCAGAGTTCTCCTTTCTAGCTCGGTGTAAGTCTCCATAGCTCCCTGAATCTTTGGATTTTAAACAGTAAAATCAAGAGAGACTTCCACTCCTCAAACTCTGCCTGAGAAGCCTCCTCTTTTCAAGCAGAGCTTTAGGAGCTGCCACAGGAAGGGCCTTTCAGCCTGTGGCCCCTCTTTTGCTACAGTCCCTGTAGCCTTTTTGGAGGCTTTTTTAGATTTACAGGTGCTGGGCTGTTCATCACCAGCTCCAGCACAGGGAGATTCCAGCCACACACAGCACTGGAGTTCCCAGAGGGTCCCATGAGCTGTGGGCTCAGGCAGCCAGGAATGTTCTCAGTAAATAGATTTAATGGCCATGCAAGAACACATCCCACTGATCCATGGGCAGGAGCAGCAGGATTTGCTGGGCTAAGCACTATGTTAGCATAACTCAGATGTGCTGCTTTGACAGATCAATATCAAGTGTGGGAATGCCTAGCTAGTCCTTAAAATTCCCTTTTATAATCAGGCAAATTTAAATTTCAGGCATTCCTAGGTGGTAAGGGACAACTTTGCTATTGAGAGGAATGACAGATTTGTCTTTAAAACAAGCTCTGGGTCTGCTGGTAGATGAAACCAGCACTGGAAAATAAAAGAAACAATGGGAAGAATTCCACTGATTCATGAATAGAAAAAGATATTTGCCTTTACAAATAAACTGTAGGTTTGCTGATAAATGAAATTGAACATTGAAAGATGAAAAACAATGGGGAAAACCCCTAAATCCCATAAGAACTAAAAATTAAAAGGGAGGGTTATACATTAGAGGGAAATCTTTCAGTATCAGGTGTTCTGGGAAGTCTGAACCTCCCAAGTACCTCAGGCAATGGGCAAAGAGAGAGGGGAAATGTGGCTGGAAATTGGGATAAAAGGAGGCTGAGTCCTCCAAAAATCAGAGAGACCCCAGACCCATGGCCTCTCCATTTATTCAGATAAAGTAAAAGGACTCCTCTGTCTCCTTTATGGACATAAACCTCTGGTGTTTGTGGATTAAATTTCCCAACACTATGAAGAAGACAGCACACAGATTATTTCCCACCAAGCAGCAGGACTGGCTGCAATATCCCAAATTCCCACTCCCCAAATCCAGCAGGGGTTACAGGAGGCAGAACTGCTGAGCTTTTTTTCCAGAGAGAATTCCCTGTGCAGCTGAGAGCTCCCAGTGCAGGGATAACCCCTGCAATTCCTCTCTCACATCTCAGCATCACCTCAGCCTGGCAACTTAAACTGCCTGATTATTTTGCCTTCAGCACAAACTGGTTGCTCCAGGAGGAAGACCCTTTTCTGGTATGTGCTGAGCTCAGGGAATCAGGATCCAAACCTTTCCTCCATGAGGGGATTGTGCTGCATGAAGGAATGATTGCAGCACAAACCCAGAGCCCACACACTGCTGCCTCAGCACAAAGCCTTTACACACAGGGCTGAGGATGAGGAGTGCTGCTGGAGAAGCGGTCACTTCTGTGTGAGAGAGGAGCAACTTCCACCTCTTCTGTCACAGTGATATTGTCTGAAAAATCCCTTCACCAGGATTTTTTTCTCCTGGCAAGATGAGAAGGCTCAGTTTCTCCATGTTTTGCTGCTCTGGAATGTGGTCTGGAGATTGTTTATTCAAACATGTGAATTGTTTTTAATTCATGACTAATCACAGTCCAGCTGTGTCAGACTGAGGGGTCAGCCACAAATTTTTATGATTCATTTTTGTTTAGCCTTCTGATGTATCTGTTCTCTTTCTTTTTAGCATAGTTTTAGTATAGTATAGTAAAATATAATAAATATAATTAAAATATAATTAAAATAAAAATTAATGAAGATAATGAAATATAACAAAATTAATAAAAATTATAAAAATATAATAAAATAAAAATAATAAAATAAAAATAAAATATAATAAAATATACCAGCCTTCTGAAAACTTGGAATCAGATTCTCATCTCTCACCTTGTCCTGGAGACCCTCACAAACACCACACTCTTCAAGCCTGCATTCATCCCCCACAAAAAACCCCCATCTCCAGTCCCTGTCTCTGATCCCCATGAAACAACTTCAATTACCTTTAAATAAAAAAATAACTCTGGAAGAAGCAGTACTCACATGAGAGCAGATTCTACTTTTGGTCTTGAAGACAGAAGGATGAGAGGCCAGGAGCAGAGCTTTTCCTGTCTGCAGACAGAAGGATGAGAGGCCAGGAGCAGAGCTTTTGCTCTTGAAGTCCCACAGGCACCTGGTCCATCAGCCCAACCCACAGCATTTCCTGGCCAGTCTGAAGGCATTGGGCTCTTCCAAGAGGAGCTGGACATGGCACTGGCAGAATCTGAGCTCCCCAGAACCCCTGTGCTGGCAGCAGGTGTCTGACACCCACAGCTTGGTGTCCCCCACCAGTGAGGCCACAGCTCCCCCACCTCCCACCCCACCGAACCAACCTGCTCCAGGCAGCAGCAGAGACATGAAGGAGGAGAATTTGGCCTTGGAGGAGCAATGCCAAGGGATGCCAGGGCTCTGACAGCTCTCCCAAGCACAGGGCAGTGCCAGCAGGGTATATATTTGCCTCCAGGCTTGGGGAAAGAGAAGAAATTACAACTTCCCAGGACAGCATCAGTACTCAGCAGTGCTCACCCAGGACAGGATCAGTGCTGTGATCCTTCCTGTACAGCTCACTGCTCTTCCTCCATCCCCAAGTGGAATTCCATCAAGGAAGAGGTGGAAGAGCACAGCTCACACCCACTGAGCAATCCTCCCAGTCTGTGTCCCAGAGAGGGTTTTTGTATGCAGCAGTTTTATTTTAAGCAGTTATCACCCAGTACAAGCAACTTTTAGGAAGACAATTCATTGCACTTTCCACTTACAGAGGGTTTCATGCCAACAGCCATTATTGTTTTAACCTTTACATGGGGGTGCTGGAGGTTTCCAGATGCCCAGCTCCTGCTGCCCCTTCCTCCTCTGGGGAGGATTGATTCTCCTCCTCCTCCCTGGGGGAGAAAGGTCCCACCAGCCAGGACAGAGGAGTGTTGTTCTTCAGGTAATCCAGCAGCTCCTCCATGTACTCCTGGATCACAGCCAGCTCCCTCTGGCTCTGGGTCAGGACACTGCTGGACAAGTCCTGGAAGCAGTTTGCCTCTGAGAAAGCAGCATGCAGCTCCCTGATGGCACCCAGAGCCTGCTGCAGCTCGTCCTGCAGGCTGCAGGGCAGGTCCTGCATGGCAGCCACCAGCCCAGAGCAGGAGAGCTGCAGCTGCTGGCTGATCCTGCGGGCCATCAGCAGCGTCAGACACTCCATCTCCTGGGGGAAAGGCAGGACACCATCAGGAATGAGTCACTCAGGAATCCAGGGGATGCCCTGAGCCCTTGGCCTCCCTCCCCAGGAGGTACCTCAGGCTCTGCAGGGCTTCCATCTCCACTCTCTTTGAGATACTTCCTACTCCAGTCCAGCCACATCTGGTGTAGTTTCTCCTGCCCCTCCTGAAGCTTTTGATTAAATTCTTGCTTGAATGCCTCAACCTGTGGCAGGGGAAGAGCAGAGAGCCAGGACAGACAGCTCAGCTGGGGAACTGCAAAGCTCCTCAGCACAGCAATGAGCTGAGACAACACCAGGGCTTTGGTGCCCTCCTCCCCAGGGCTGGGCTCTACCTACCAGCTCGAGGATGCAGTGGAGCTGTGCCAGGGGCCCCTGCATGCCCTGCCAGAGCTGCTGGATCCTGGCTGTGGAGTGCAGCTGTGCCAAGAGGTGCAGATCCTCAGAGAGAGAGCCCAGGTGCACAAAGTGCCGCCTGTGCCACCGCTGCTGCTCCAGGGGCAGAGCTGCCGTGCCCTCCTCACACTCTGCCAGCAGGGCTGGGGACACAGTGCCAGGGTCACAGGGACACAGCAACAGGCTCAGCACACCCCCAGACTAGCAGCCAGGCACAGAGCAGCTGTGGCTGCCCCCAGATCCCTGGCAGTGTCCAAGGCCAGGCTGGACAGGGCTTGGAGCAGCCTGGGACAGTGGAAGGTGTCCCTGCCATGGTGAGATGTCACAGACACATTTTATGAAAAATCCTTTTGACAGGATTTTTCTCCTGAGAGGCCTCAGAAAATAAATATAAACAATAATTATCTGCTGCTGTGGAATGCAACAGGTGCATCTTTGATTTGTCTTATGTGGTTGTTTCTAATTAATGGCCAATCATAGCCCAGCTGTCTCAGACTCTCTGGTCAGTCACAAGATTTTATCATCATTCCTTTCTATTCCTTGCTAACCTTCTGTTGAAATCCCTTCTTCTATTCTTTTAGATAGTTTATATATAATTTTCTTTTAATATAATATATATCATAAAATAATAAATCAGCCTTCTGAAATATGGAGTCAAGATTCTCATCTCTTCCCTTGTCCTGGGACCCCTGTGAACACCACCACATTTGGTGAACCCAGAGTGAGGAACATTGCCACAGTGAGAAGCCCAAAATGAGCTTTAAGGTGCCTTCCAACCCAAACATTCTGGTGATACTATAGGGATAAAATATTCCTAAAAGCATGGGATATTCAGGGGAGTTGGAAAGAAAGGTTGGGCCTGGTAGGCCCTGGGAAAATGTTAGGCTTCACTGGATCATGCAAAACTGCACCTGTATAATCATTTAATGACTATGATAAACAATATGATTGTTATATGATATATGGTTGTTAAATGTGATGATTGTTTGGTAATTGGATATAATTATTGTTTAATCATAAGAATCATGAGAAACAATGTTTGGGGGGTTTGATGGAAATTACAAATCCATGCTTGGATGAAATCAATGTATACAATAGAACAATATAAGTTTAATATAATAATAATATGTTAATATTAATTAATATGTAGTTCTATAATGATAAGGGTATAAAAACATGTTCATCCTGAACCCATGTGGGAGTCAGATTTGAGTCGATATCCCTGACACCCAGAGCTCTTCAATAAAAGCATGGAATCATTCTGTGATTATGTGTTCCTGAGCACTGACACTGGCATTCTCCTCTTCCCATTATCCCCACTGCAGAGTAGTGGGGTGAGGAGTGGGGCTGACCATCCCCAGTCCAACAGTTCCACAGCCACCCTTTCCTTACCTAGCTCCTCATTTCCAATGGGCAGAGAGGCACCTTCTGCTGTCCCCAGCACAGTCTCTGCTCCAAGGACACCCATCTGTGCCACTGCAGGCTCCAGACTGGTCACTGCAGGTGTGGCTGTCCCCTTGCTGCCCTGCACCTCCAGCACTCTGCTGCTCACAGCCTCCTTCACCTCAGCCACTCTGGATGACAGCAGCTCCTTTGTGTCAGACAGAATCTGGGGAACAGGAGGAATGGCAGGTGATGGAGTGGGTTCTGTCTCACACTGAAATTCTGAACTGCACCAAGAGGACACACAGCACAGTGTCAGTTCAGTGTTGACTCATGTTTGTGACCCTACATCTTCTTTCCCCTTACTGAGGGTTTCATGCCAACAGCCATTATTGTTTTATCCTTTACATGGGGGTGCTGGAGGTTTCCAGGTGCCCAGCTCCTGCAGCCCCTGCCTCCTCCTGGGAGGATTTGTCAGGTCTGTCTGTCTGTCTCTGCCCCGACACGGGTAGGGTGGTTCTTGGGTGGCACGCAATGCAAAGGACGAGTCTGGACTCTTCAGCTTTTCGATCTTCAGGTTGTTTATTATTTCTTATCTACAGAATTTTCTCTCTGCCCAACAGAGGTCTGATCTGCAAGCAGTCACAGGCACTCTCTGACCACCCACGGGGCGGTCATGTCTTTTTATACTAAAATCTACGTACACAATATTTACCTTTATTTCCCAATGCTTTTCACCCATGTTAGCAAGTGCACCTTCACCATAAACCAATCCCCAAGTGCCAACATCATCACAGGAGATGGAGGACAAGAAGAAGAAAGAAGAAGGAGGAGACACACCCTGATCCCTCCATCTTGTCTCCATAACCCCCCTGTACCAAAAACCTTAAAGTCTATATCTCACCCTCTAAATGTGTCTCTTTTACACCTTGTACTCTAAAGTGATTATCTTGTCCTCAAACTCTTGTTACTTCTGTGGATGGATCAAAATCAAGCCACCAAACACTCCTGGCAACATTCCAGGATTTTCGAGACCCCCAAGGGTTCTCCTGGCATCTCTGGACATTGGGAACGATGTGCTGAGATCCCACAAGGATTGATCCTGATTCTCCTCCTCCTCCCTGGGGGAGAAGGGTCCTAGCTTAGAAATCCCACAAGAACCAAGCCCCTCTGCCTGCCAGGGACAGCACAGTCTTTAATCCTTACCTGTTCCACTGGCTTTGGAAGGAGTGGCAGCTTCTCCCCCAGTTTATCCAAACCCTTGGCAGCATATTCACTCACAGCAGCCACTGAGGAGAGAACCAAAAAAAGTGTCAAAATGTGGTTTTCTGCAGTTTCACCTCAAGTTCCACATTGCAAAAATCAGTTTTAGGACAGGCAGCATCAGAGTCAATCCCTGACTCTCCCTCACACTGCTGGGATTAGGGCCCAGCTTCAGCCTGATTTATAATCCATGAGTTATCCTTGCACTATGGCAATGGAGAGGTGCATTCCCCCACCCCAGGACTCCTCCCAGGTGTGGAAGGAGCCCAGAGAGCCCCTCCCAGGCAGGGCCTGCCCTTCCCCAGGGATTTACCATGGGGCTCCAGGGTGGCCAGCACGGGCTGCACACAGCTGGCCATGGCCTGGGTCACACTCTGCACTCCCTTCTCTGCAGCATCACACACAGAGCTCAGGCAGGGCTGGCTCTCCTTGCTGGAGGCATAAGCTGCAGAAACCACCTCACAGGCAGAGCTCACCAGGCTCAGCTTGGCCACCTCCTTCACTGCAGCCTGGAAGAGCAAAGAAAAGTGCAGCCATGAAGCTTTAAACATGGCCCTGAGCAGTTCTGCCCTGGAATTCCCTCTTGGGGAGGAATTGTCACCAAATCACCTGGGCTACCTGAGGGAGACACTCTTGCCTTGCTCACACACCTAATTAAATCCATAACTCAGTTGTGACATGAGCTGGGGAGCTTTGGCACGAATGATTGTCCACCCCAGGAAAGTTTTCTTCTGGCACAAAGAACAACCAAGTTTGGGGGCAACCTCAGTCCTTCTGCCATGTACCCATCTCCAGTTCACCTGGAATGGTTATTTGACAAGTCAATATCCCAGAAAAGCTCCACCAGGTGGGAATGAGTTGGTTTTAAGCTGGCAGATTTGGTCACAGGAGCAGAGCAAGAGCAGCAGGGAGGTCTCAGGGAGGCTGAAACATTGCAGCCTTTCCATGGGAGCCCTGCTTGCCAGGAGCCAGGCTCTTGAGTTAGAGAAACATCTTTCCTAGCCAAGAACCAGCTAATTTTGCTGAGCCTAAGAGGTTACAGGGACTTCAGGTCCACATCTTTGTCTGTGTGCTCTTCCAGAAGCTGCAGGGCAGCCTGAGCAGAGGAAACTCTCATTTTGGGGGACTCAGCTCCCCTCAGCCACAGCAGGGCCACCTCCTCACCCTGCAGCCCAGAGCTGCCACTCCTCACATCCCACAGGGAGCACCAACCTCCTGCTCCTCCTCCTCCTCCAGGGAGCTCTGGGCAGCCTCCTCCTTGTGGGGCACAGCAGAGGCCATGGCAGCTGCAAGGCAAGGAACACCAAGGATTTAGGGAGACATCCCCCTCCAAGGGGACACATCCCTCTAGGGTCATAAAAGAGAGAAATTCCCTTCAGGAATTCAGGGGAAACCCCAAAACAGCCTCACAGGAGGGAGTCTGTGCCATGTGCAAATCTACCCAGTTTCAAGTTTAAGTTCCAGGTGGTCTGTGGTAATTAAAGGAATAAGGAGAGCATTCTTTCACAGAATTCCCAGAATGACCAGGTTGGGAGAGACCTTCAAGATCATCAAGTCCAACCCAGCCCCAAGCCCTCAGCTAAACCCTGGCACCCAGTGCCACATCCAGGCTTTGTTAAACACACCCAGGGATGGGGACTCCTCCACCTCCCTTTCCTCACTCTAGAGACCAAAATTATTAATATATTTATATTAGAGAAAGATACAAGGTGCTTCCTTCCTCTGATGCTTTAAGATTTTAGATTATCTATCTTTTATATTTTTGTAACCCTGCAGTTCTGTAGTCTATAACTCTAAACCCCACACTCAGTGTGAGCTGCTGCTCTCCCAGTTTGGGCAGACACAACAATTCCTCTGCAGGCCTGGCAATCAAGGACACCTCACTGCCTCAGGGCCCAGAGATGGAAACAAAAGTGAATTGGAGGAGCAAACTTGGGGTAAATGACTTCATTACCTGAAGCTGTAATTGCAAGATTAACCCCCAACATGCAAATGGACCAAACTTATAAAAGTGGGAAAACCCATGACCTGTGATCCATTTATGGGTGGACCTGGGGGGCTTTGTCTGCCCAAAGTGTACCTGAAGACCCCTCAATAAATATAACTGCTTTTTTACTCTCTTCATTTTGCCCAGCACCTGTTTTTAGGTAGCCCCAGAAGAGGCATCACCTCCCCATCAAGCCTTAAAAAAACAACAACAGCAGAACTGAGGGAAAACAGAGCTCAAGAATCTGTCCTGCTGCTTCCACACCCCAGACCTGAACAATCCCCCTGGAAACTCCAGAGCAGCCCCTGTGTTACCTGCTGGAGGTGAGCAGAGCAGCAGCAAGGAAAAACCAGGCACCAACCACACCCCATCACCCCTTCTGCCTTTTTATGGTGCCTGGCATGGGGCAAGGCGGAACCCTCGGGGACTGACAGCTCTGGGAAGCAGCAGGAAGGAGCCAGGCCCTGCCCTGGCCAATTAGAGGGGAGCAGGGCTGATGAGGGTTGCTAATTACTGTTAATTACTCTGGAGTTAGGCAGGCAAACCTTGCCCTGTGTGAAGCAGCTTCGCTTGGAGGCCTCCATTTCATCAGCAGTGACTATGGGAATGTGTCTACTAAGTTTTCTGCTTTGTGATGTTACACATTTTTATTTAAACTATACACTGGTAATCTCAGTGTTATTAAATAATTTTGGAAGATTTCTTTACAGCTTTAGGTTAAATAAAGTATTTTTTTGTGGGTTTGTGCTTTTCAGCACAGAAAGTTTAAAATTCTCAGCATCTAGGGTTCCAATAGGAATGTGTGGAAGCAGTTTCTACTCCTGCATGAATGATATTTTGTGATTAATTATGTCCCTAGATGAGGGATGAGCAATAAGATTTCAGATTATTTAAGGGGTAAGTTCCCCTTAAATATTTATTTATTTAAGGGGTAAATTCCCCTTAATCTCTAAGTTTGTCTGAGATGCCACAAGCCTTTGCCAAGCATGTTTAGTGCTCTCTGACCAGTTGTCTACAGCTCTCCTTTTGGATTCTGAATTTCCCTGGATTCTGAACACTGCAAGTAATTGCAATTTATTTATTTATTTTAAATTTTAATTAATTTTGTATTTATTTTATTTAAATTTTTATTTATTAAATTTATTTATTAAATTTATTTATTAAATTTATTTATTTGTTAAAATGTTTTTTCTGATGGCAGACACTAAGTACCAAAGCTCCTAATTTTTACATTAATATATGGCATTATCTGTGCTTTCTCAGGCACACCTAATGGTAAACTCAGTGCTAGAAAAAGGGAAAAAAAACACTTTGGGAATGGCCCTGGTTACACAGAGATCACGGTCCTGTGCAGTTCTCTGTGTGATGAGCCTGATTGATTGTGAGGCTCCAAACAAAGCCCTGGAGCTGCTGCTGGAGGCTCACCCAGGCAATCTGGGGGCTCTGACACACTGCCTGGCACCAGAGCTCACTGTCCCCACAACAGAGGCCAGAGAGCAATCAGGGAAATGTCTCTGTGTGTTCCCTGGGCTCTGTGCTGCAACAGAGGAAAAAAAGCCTCCTGTTACTATAAGACACAAAATAACAAGACATGAACATGCTGCTGTTCTCAAGGTAAAAAAGGGCAGTTTATTTTCTGACTCTAACATTTATAAATTTCCAAAATGACAGTGGATTGGTGGGTGAAAGTGCCACCTCTCCAATGACACTGGACAAACCAACAGTCCATCAGATTCCTCCTCCTCCATAAAAAAAATGCAAAACAATGAGTTATTTACAAAAAGTGTGTAAAAAAGTTTGTTACAAAAATGTAAACATCAAAAAGCTTAGGAAATCTTAAAAATCAAAACAACACCCTCCAAGCAGCCCCTCCCTTCCAGACCAGCCCTGGAGCAGTGCTGGAGTCCTGCAGGAGGATCCCTCAGCCCAAAGGCCTGGAGGGAGGAGCAGTGGTTGTGCTTTGCCTGGAGGTTTGTCCCTCTGCTTTGGGCTGTGACAGCAGCAGCCCTGGACTGTGTCACCCTCCTGCACAGAGCTCCCAGTGCTCCTGTAAGGCTGTGGAGGACCATGCTCGTGGTGCTTGTCACCTCCTACAGGGACTAAAAGGTCCTTGGTGGCCTGAGATGTCCAGGCAGTCCCTCTGCCTGCAGCAGGAACAGCCTTGAGTTTCACCAGGGGAGGTTTAGGTTGGATGTTGGGAGGGATTTCCTCACCCAAAGGGTGGTCAGGCTTTAGAACAGCTGCCCAGGGCACTGGTGGCATCACCATCCCTGGAAGTGCTCCAAAAACCTGTGGGTGTGTGTTGGATTCAGCCCTTTGCTGACCCAGAGATGGGGCAACTGAGAAGTGTTTTAAAAACTTTTACTCCATTTTCAGTCTCATGTGAAGGGTGAGACAATGCAGATGTTATAACTCACACCATCACAATCAGAAACCAGAAATTTCCTAATTACAATAGAAGCATTTCTTGGCCTATCAGCTTTTGCCACACCATGCTTAAAGCAAATCATCTAAAATCCTCCCTTGTGGGTCCCACTACAATGCATCTTTCATAGTTTTATTTCTTATTTTTCCAAAGTATCCAGTCCTATTTGCAAGGGGCTTGGGGACATGGTTTGCTGGAGGGATGTTTGGACTCGATGATCTGAAGTGCTTTTTCCAACCTTAATAATTCCATGATGCCATGATTCTGATCCCATCTTCTGAGAATGTTTGCATGGGAAATTGGATTTTGAACCTGTTGAAATGGGAGCTGCCATATTCCAGAGGATGAGCTTTATCTGGCTCATCAGCACAGCACAAGCCAGGGCCCCAAGGCTGCCAAAGCTCCAGGAGTGTTTGGACATTGTTTGAACAGTGCTGTCAGGGATGCCCAGGGTGGAGTTGCTGGGTCTCTGTGCAGGAGCTGGACTCCATGATCCTGCTGGGTCCCTTCCAGCTGAGGTTATTCCACAATCCTATGAAAGAAAAAGAGCATGGGAAGAGGCCAAACAGGCATTGGCTGCACCTTTTCCCCATAATCCACCCAATTTCAGCCAAGTTACAGCTTGGTTCTCACCTGGGGCTCTCTGCAGCTCAGGGGATGCTTTGTGTGGGTTTGGTGGGGTGTTTCCACTGCTGGGCCCATCCAAGGCAGGAGCAGGGACAGGGAGGTCCTGTGGGGATGGGAAGGGTCACTTTAGGACACAAAATAAAACAACACAGACACTGGGCTTTCTAAGGTAAAAAAGAGAGTGTTTAATTTCTGACTCTAACATTTCTAGATTTCTAAAAGTAACAGTGAATTGGAGGACAACCATGCCACTTCTCCAATGACACTGGACAAACTAACAGTTCATCAGATTTCTCTTCTTTCAGAAAAGAATACAAAACAATAATTTTTTAACATAAAAAGCGTAAGAAAGTTCATTACAAAAATGTAAACATCAGAAGGCTTAAAAAAACTTTAAAAAACCCAAAACAACAGGGAAAGGCAGAAGCTGTGTGTGAATCCTGGACAGAACTGATGGGAGGTGACTCCACATGTCCTGGTAGCTGTTGGTGCTGGGGACATTGGTGACTCTCATTGTCACAGACATCTTTTATGGAAAATCCTTTCCTCAGGATTTTTTCCTCCTGAGAAGCTGAGAGGCCTCAGAAACAAAATGTAAGCAATGGTTATCTGCTGCTGTGGAATGCAACAGGTGCATCTGGGATTGGTCTCATGTGGTTGTTTCTAATTAATGGCCAATCACAGTCAGCTGGCTCAGACTCTCTGTCTGAGACACAAGCCTTTGTTATTCATTCTTTCTTTTTCTATTCTTAGCCAGCCTTCTGATGAAATCCTTTCTTCTATTCTTTTTAATATAATATATATGATAAAATAATAAATCAGCCTTCTGAAACATGGAGTCAGATCCTCATCTCTTCCCTCATCCTAAGACCCCTGTGAGCACGGTCACACCTGCAGCTGGGTCAGTCCCAGAGGTGCCAGCTCAGTCTGTGCTGTGAATTCCTCACCCTTCCTGTGCTGTTGGCTGCACTGGTGTCTGAATCCCACAGAGCTCCTGTGGAAGAGCAGCAGCACAGCCTGTGGATGCTGTATCCATGACAACAGCTCCTTCCAGCCCCCCTCAGCCAGCTGGCAGCAATGAGAAGTGGCCATCCCAGTGCTGATGGTGGGAATGGGGCTGGAGCACTGGGCTGGGCTTGAGGACTGTGGGAGTCAGCCCTGCCAGCTGCCTGTGGGGTGTCTTGGTCTGAGACTGTTGGGGTTTGTGTCTCAGCTTTTAAATGGTGTCCATGACTTTGACCT